TAGATAGATAGAGAGAGAGAGAGAGAGAGAGAGAGAGAGAGAGAGAGAGAGAGAGAGAGAGAGAGAGAGAGAGAGAGAGAGAGAGAGAGAGAGTCGGTTCTACTAATCCTATTCTAACTCCTTATCTAACCTCTGCCTAGAGCTCCTCAATTCCCATCTTGAGCTCAACCTAATTGACCGACCCAGGGCTTGGGGCGAAGGAGGGAGAAGATGCTTGGCCATGGTGAATGAGTGAAGGCGATGAGCGTAGGAGGAAAATGATGCTTGACTACGGAGGATGGTGAAGAAGATGAATGATGGAGGAAGAAGATGCGTGGCTATGGAGGATGGATGAAGAAGGTGAGTGATGAAAGAGGAAGGTGATGCTTGGCTATGGTGGATGAGTGAAGGAGGAGGACGAAGATGCTTGGTTATGGAGAATGGGTGAGCAAGATGAGTAATGGAGGAAGGAGATGCTTGGCTATGGAGGATGGGTGAAGAAGATGAGTGATGGAGGACGAAGGTGCTTGGCTATAGTGGATGAGTGAATGGGATGAGTGATGGAGGAAGAAAATGCGTGGCTATTGAGTAGGGGTGAAGAAGATGAGTGATGGAGGAGGAAGGAGATGCTTAACTATGGAGGATGGATGAAGAAGAGTGATGGAGGGAAAAGATGCTTGGCTATGGTGGATGAGTGAAGGAGATGAGCGATGGACAAGATCGATTGATTGCGAACTGTGTACCATCTCACAACTCGTTAGTCTTTTTCAAGTATGAAGTAGTGAGTACAAACTGATAGTTCAATAGGAGTTAGATAGAAGCAATATAGTACGATCACTCGACCTCATCCGTCATCCGTCTCATCCTCCATAGACAAGCATCTTCTTCCTCCTCCATCACTCATCTTCTGCACTCATCCACCGTAGCCAGGTATCTTCTTCCTCTTTCATCACCCATCTTCTTCACCCATCCTCCATAGGCAAGCATCTTCTTTGGCCTTCATGACTTATCTTCTTCACCCATCCTCAATAGCCAAGCATCTTCTTCCTCCTTCATCACTCCTCTTCTTCAACCATCCACCATAGCCAAGCATCTTCTTCCTTTTTCATCACTCACCTTCTTCACCCATTCTCCATAGCCAAGCATCTTCTTCCTCTTTCATCACTCATCTTCTCCAACCATCCTCAACCGAGCATTCTCTCCTCCCTCATCACCCATCTCCTTCTTCATCCACCATAACCAAGCATCTTCTTCTTCCATCACTTGTCTTCTTCACTCATCCTGCATGGCCAGGCATCTTCTTCCTCAATTCCCATCTCCTTCACTCATCCACCATAGCCAAGCATCTCCGCTGGAGTTTTCAGCAGCCCCAGTCCACGACCTCCACTGTAGGAACCTCTCCCACTGGGCAGCCGCGTGACTGCTGTTATGACCGGGGCTTCCCAGGCATGACCAGGACCCCCGGTCGTGGCCGCCCTGGTCGGCGGGCAGGGGGACAAATAGAATTGTTGTGCACAGTTGCGATGGAACTGCTAAGGGCCACAACTCTCCGAAGGGATGACGATTACAGGGCTTGCAGCGAGGACACACCTCGCTTGACTGGCAATAGCAGGTGACGTCATTGATAAGGTAAGGCCAATGAAAACGTCAGCGAAGTTGACCCGTTGTAAGGTTGACGGCGTTGACGGCAGAGTGGACCATGGCAGGAGCGTGGTGAAACTCACGAAGAAGTCGCGTGTGTAAAAAAGTAAAAGATCCTTCCCTCGTGAATGAATAAGCGAATGCCCATCTTGGATTTGAAAGTCCAAAGGAGGCGGGTCCGAAGAAGAGCATTGTGTGTAGGTGTCATGAAAGACGGGGCCGACTTGATAGCCACGGGCAAAGTGGTGTCCCAAGTTGTCATCAATCTCGAACGTGTGATAGACTGCAGCGCAAAGGTCTAGACGCTGTGAAATCGCATCCGCGAAACGATCCGACTTGCCCTTGATATGATCGGGGATGAAGTCGAACTGGTCAATGTAAGCCATCCAACGGGCGATCGTGCTATTGACGTGTCTTGGGACTTGTACAATACCAACGGGTTGTTGTCCATGACCCACTTGCATTGGCATCGGCTGAGAAGAAAGTGGTGCCACCATTTGAGCACATGGACGAAGGCCAACAGTTCCTTCTTCAGTGTTTCTTTTCGGTCAAATGGATGGGAGACATTTTCTTAATAAAGTACTCGACGGTGTGCCAATCCTCACCATCATGTTGCTCGAGGACAGCACGAATGCCATAGCCAGACGCATCGGTGGTGACGCGCGTATGCAAAAGAGGGTCGTAGATACGCAAGGCGGCTTTGAGAACCATGAAAGCTGCCTGTGCCTCGTCATCAAAGTGGAACCGCTGGTCCGCATTGAAGCTTGGTCATTGGCTGTGATCTTTGAATACCCCTCAATGAAGCGGTGGTAGTAGCCGACAAGTCCATGGATGGTTTTCAACGAGTTCTTGCTTCTCCGAACTTTTGTGTTCTCGCATGGTGGTCCCTTGCACCAGAGTTCTTGAATGTTGGAAGGCGGCTTTGAGAACCACGAAAGCTGCCTGTGCCTCGTTGTCAAAGTGGAACGGCTGGTCTGCATTAAAGCTTGGTCAAATTGGCCGCGATCGTTGAATACCCCTCAATGAAGCGGTGGTAGTATCCCGCGAGTCCACGGATGGTTTTCAACGAGTTCTTGCTTCTCCAAATTTTTGTTCTCTCACATGCTGGTCCCTTGCACAACAGTTCTTGACTGTTGGAAACTTCAGTTAGCTGGTTTTTCTTTTGTTTACTGGTTTTTGGTTTGTTTAGTTACCTGGTCCCTGGTTTGTTTAGTTAAATGCTGACTGGTTTTGTTTGTTTGTGACTATTGGAAAGGTCACCTAACTCGTTTGATCTGTTTAGTTAAGTGGTCAGGGTAGTTTGCTCTTGACTACTAAACACTTCAGTTAACTCTGGTTTCATTAGCTAACTGCTTTGGTTTCTTTTCTTCTGCTTGTTGAGAATCAGAGTGCAGCAGCTATGCCAGGTGATGCCGCCCAGGTTTCTGACAGATGGGTGCCAGATCTGTCTCATGATGGTGGGCCTGATGGTGGACCCCAGAGTGCTGCATGCAGCCACTGCGTTGATGATGTTGTAACTCGGGTTGCGGATGAAGGAGCGTCTTTGATGTATGTACTGGCGGGACGATTGTTGGATATGCGTGCCAATGGGCTTTACCTGTCCTATTCACGAAGGTGCTTTCTAATGACAGGGCTGGGCAACTCAGATGACGAAGGTTTGTGAAACCCGAATGGAACCAGATAAATGTGTGCTTACTGTTCTCCCAACAGCTCAGGCTTCTGAGACTCAGCACAAAATGTTAGGGCTAAAACCCAATCAAAGAAAATGGAATAGCAAAGTGAAGAAGGCAAAGCAAAGCAAGTAAGAAATTTGATAGGAAAACCTTAACAACGACTACCTTTCCCAGGCAAAGTAGAGAATAAAAAAATATGACATCCCAAACACTGCGGATGAACAGTGCTACCGGACCAAAATGGCTGATGGGGCCAGTCAACGTTTTTCTTTGGCATGCCGTCTTGGCAAAAGGAGGCTCGAATGTAGTGGTGGCTTAAGGAAATAAGGGCTAAAAAAAGGATGAGAAGTGGGAAGAAAAGTCCACCCTACTCCTTCACCACCTCCTATCAGGGCAGGGGGCAACACTCATCCCCTTAATTGTGAGAGGTAGCTATGTGCAAGGAAACAAGCAATGTGAATGACGATAAACCAGATTGCAATATTCGACAGAAGTCCAGATTGCAATTTTGGACAGAAGTGCAGATAACTGTGAGCTGAAACTGAAAGCAGAATGCAAATCTAAATCACACCAAATAAGATTGAGCAAAGCACTGAAGGCACATGATAAGGAAAGCCCCTTCTCGCCTCAATACAATGACAATGTAGCTCTCTTACTCGATGCTCAGCGCCCACACTACTGACAGTCACTCCTATAGACCTAGATGACCTATTGCTACAACAGGTAGCAATGAAGATCAACAGTCCACTGAAGTGAACAGCCTGCTTCATCAACACCAGGTGAGCACCTCTTCACACCGCTCAACCCGCCTTATGCTGGACCACAGTCCCTCTCTGCCCAAGGACCTCCACTACACCCCCACTCGGCTGAAGAACGAGCAGCCTGGCTATGGCTGCAGCTTTCCCTCTTGCTGCTCCGCTTGCACAACTCCCTCTCTGGTGTGGCTCCTTCCAGCAAGCGCTTGCGCAGTGGTGCCACATTGCCATCCAGCCACAATCCCCGAATGAGTCAGCCTGCCAGACTTGTAGGCTGGAGTCCGTGCTGCATCTGGCTCGTAGGGGTCCCTGTATAGGATTAGGAGTAGTGGTAGGTAGGTAGTGAAAGGTGAAATTGAGAGAAGAATGTGGCTTAGTTTTTATGAAAGAAAAAAAAAGGCTACCACAAGAACAGGAGGGGAAGAAAGGAGTTTGGTCGCCAAGGGAAAGGTGAGAGAAAGTTAGGCCGGACCTGGTCTGTTTGCCAGGTTTGGCCAGCCTGCCCTTGGCAGGCGAAACCACACCTCTGCCTGGGGTGTCAGGCATGGGAAAAACAGCCCAAGAAATCAGTACAGAGAAAAACCTGTCTTCAGGGCAGATGCATGGAAAATGTGCAAATAGCAACATCGCATTGTAAACCAGATAGTTGTGTACCCAGTAGAATGTAGTATGCACTGAGATACAAGCCAAGCAATGCAGTGAACCCAAGTAGCAACTTCAGCCCCAATTCGCCACTATCAACAATGTATCCAATGTTGCTCTTCTCACACGGCGCTCAGCGCCCAGCCTATCACTACTCAGCACCTAAACTATCGTGCACTGTGAAGATGCAAAAAGCAAACCCTCCAGCAGAAGACCAATGTACATGAAGAAGTCGCCCATGCAGACCACCGCATACACATTAGGTAGGTGTTTCTCCCTCTCTCGCTCATACCCCGACCAACCACAGTGCAGTCAATCCCTGCCCAAGGACCACCATCGCTAACACCAGCATCCGCAGGCTCAGCCTGGCTGACCAACAGCACTGGCCACATCACACAGTTGGGCGTTGCCAACTGCCGGGACCAGGCCCAGGGCGCAGATCCTGGGAACACACGTGAATCTGCTGGGCCCCTGAGCCCTCGAGCACTTCCCATATATGAAAGTGCTCGCTGCCCCTCCAGACATTGAGTCTGGAGCTCCCTGGCTACTCTGGGCATGGAAGGGGGAAAGGGCTGGGCGCAGACGGGCGCTGGGCAGGGCGCTACGAGCATCGGCAGGCTCAGCCTGGCTAACACCAGCATCCGCAGACGTCGCTAACACAGTGCAGTCAATCAGGCCGCGCCCTGCCCAGCACCCGTGTGCGCCCAGCCCTTTCCCCCTCCAGTGCCCAGAGTAGCAGGGTTGACGCAAGGGAGCTCCAGACTCTATGTCTGGAGGGGCAGCGAGCGCTTTCATATATGGGAAGTGCTCGAGGGCTCAGGGGCCCAGTAGCTTCACGTGTGTCCCCAGGATCTGCGCCCTGGGACTGGTCCCGGCAGTTGGCAACGCCCAACTGTGTGATGTGGCCTGTGCTGTTCAATGCGCTCTCATTGGATGAGAGCTCGCGTGCGGCGTGGAGGCCCTGGACAGCACGACCTGAAAGTCGAGGGCTTAGTCACACAGCACTGGCCCGGCTCAGTGGGTGGAAAAGTCCGCCAGGCTCATGAAAACCCGCTCCCGCAGCCCTGTAGCCCACTGGAAAATGTAGGGGCGCGGGGGTGATCCTGTGGGGCCCTTGCGAGTGGCCTGATTCCTCACACAGACCTGTGCTCGGTCTGAGCATTCAGAATCTGGCCTTTGTCTTTGAATAGGTGATGGTACACCTCAGGGGATCAGGGGACTGGCTATAAGCGTGGTTAAAACTTTGAGGGGATTAAATAAAGGGGTTTAAAGCCAACTTAACTTTAAACTTTCAAACGTGTTTTGAAGGGGTTCAAATGGGCATAAAGGGGTGTGCCTGCAATTTATTTATCTTCTGTATTCGTTTTTTCTGATTAAATAATCAACTTGGGAGTGAACCCCTTGGGCCTGGTTCCACCAGATGCCGTTGAGTTGGGAAAACTCAGTGGTGTACACATCTTAGTATCTTCCCTACACTTATAAAAGTTCCTAATGTGAGAATTTTGGCATCCGGGCCGTCCGCAGACCTACCGGCCCGACGGCCCGGATTGCCCCGCGATCTTAAGATTTAAGATCGCCCGGCGATCCAGGCCATTCGCGATCCTACTGGCCCCGACGGCGTGGATTATAAGTTCGCAGCGCAACCAAAGCTAGGGCTGCCAGGCGTGGGGAGAAACCGGTTCCAGGGGGGCCGGTCCCCTCTTCGGCGGTGCACGGAGCCGGTGATTAGCGAACGAGACAAGACTCACTCACACGGCCGTCCACCCGCCCGCTTGAACAAGCACATGCACAAACACATGCACATGCACATGCATCCACGCACGCACAGGCACGAACACACGCACATGCATGCACACACACACACGCACGCAAATGCATCATGGGCAGACTGTTGGGGTTCAACCTCCTGATGAGTTGGTGAAAGTCCAACGAAACAGTCTGGCAGAGTCGTGCTATTCTGGGGGGGTTCACACAAATGCACGAACTGTGGGTGGGTGGGTGTGCGTGCATGCGTGCTCGTGCAAGAGAGAGAGAGAGAGAGAGAGAGAGAGAGAGAGAGAGAGAGAGATGCAATGTGCCCAGTCGTGGTAATCCGTCGTCAATCACAAAGACAAAGTAGACGAACGCTGTTGATAAATCGTGATAATAATGATCCCCAAAATGAGAGAGAATACATACACAAACGAGAGAGGGAGGAGGGAGAATAGACTTTGAGAGGGTGGAAGAGTCTCCTCCCTACAGCCCACTTCTTCTTCGGGCACTTCCTCCTCCTAGTAGTATGATCGTGCCTCAATCAGAGATCCAGACGTGCAAGACAATGTAGACCAACAGTGCCACGTGGCACCTGCAGACCAATCGTCAATCAGCAGCGTGGCGATGAAGTTGAAGACACCAGGTACGTATCACGACCCCAACCACAGTCCTGAATCCTCCTTCCGAGTACTTGTCAAACAGAACAGCAATACAGGCGCCTAGCGCCTTCCACCTCAGCAGCAATCCTACGTGGCAGCAGCCACGAAGATGACACGTGGCATCTGTCACATCAGCAACCCCTCAGACAGTAGTGCGCCAGCCAGCATGCTGGACGCACAGCACGCTCAAGCCACGAACCAGCGACGAGCGCCGGTTGTCAAGTCCTCCCAGCGTCTCGCCAGCAAGACAGCATAAAGCCGGCGTTGACGCAAGAGCGTCGGGTCAGCATAGACTCCAGACGAGAGTCCAGATATCAAAGCCAGGAAGTCAACTCAATATGTAGTGTTGACGGCAGGGTCTGGACCCCAGCCCTCAAGTCAGACACGGCCGAGATCAATTGTCGTCGACGGCCTGGATTGAGTTGAAACTGTATCCTCCTTGGTCCACCGTTCTGACTGGGTACCTGCACACATACAAGTCAATGCACACGACCAAGGGCCTGGGAGAGGTACCTGGACCGACAGTTGACTTTGACCTTTTAATTTCCTGCTGTGCGTGGTCACACAGCACCAGCAGCGGCCTGAGGCCGAGCAGCGCGTGGTCGCACTGCTCGCTGGGCCTGGGCTTGGGTTACAGCGCCCAGGCCGCTGCTGAACGCGGTTTACTGCAGAGAGAGAGAGAGAGAGAGAGAGAGCCACAAGGCGCGAAATCGTAGTTTGAAGGCGCAAAATCGCGGTTTGAAGGCGCGAAATCGCGCACGTGGTTAGGGTATGTGGCGCGAAATCGTGCTTTCTTTTTTCTCTGTTCGTTTTATCGTGTGTAGCATGTGTGTGTCACATGAGTTTCGCACGAGCACGACACGTCATACCTGCGCTACTCCGACCAAAAGCGCCGGCACACTGTGAGCAAGATACAAGACGAGAGAGGCGATTTTTCAACGCAGCGGGGTAAAACCATTCCTGTGTCCACTTATGGTGAGGGTAAAAACGAGGCCGTTTTTGGTCGAAGTCAGCCAACTATGCCATCTGTGGTAAAACGACAGGATATCATTCAGGAATCGGAAGAGATTTTGAAACAAGTTCGAAAAAATTTCAGAACGATAAAACGGAAGTAAGAAAGACCAAAGGAAAGAAAGAAGGAAAGAGAGAAGGGGGAGAGAGAGAGAGAGAGAGA